ACCCACCGGCTCTGGAACCACTGGAATCTGATGCTGAAAACCAGGGGCCTGTGCCCCTTGACGCTGGAAGGACCCGCCTCCCCTGTGTGGGCCCCTACCTCCTGACGAGGTACCCAAATACTGACCACCTGTACGGACCCTCTTGGGCCCACCAAAATCATCCCGCTCAAGCAACTCAGCCTCTCTGGCTGCACTCACTATAGTCTGGAAGGAAGCACCCTCTCGAGATGATCTAAACACATAACTACGGATAGTGGGAGTCAAACCCCTGACAAATCTGCGAATCCGCTCAGGCTCACCTGAAATCAAAGCAGAGGCATGTCTCGACAACTGACAGAACCGAGCCTCGTAATCTGCAACTGACATGCTACCCTGCACCAAACTCTCAAACCTCATACGGCTCTCCTCCTGTACACTCCAAGGGATGAAACGACCCTCGAAGGCACTAGCAAACTCACTCCACTCCATGGGAGGAGATCCCGCTGGTCTCGAACTCATGAAGGTCCTCAGCCACTCCCTAGCGACACCGCGTAACTGAAGGGACACAAATCGGACGCCCCTCTCACCTAACATGCGTACCGCCGCCAATATCTCTCGACTCAAGGTCAAAAACTCGTGAGCATCATCGGTCTTAGCACCATGAAACTGAGGTGGTTTCATTTTCTGAAACCTCTCATAGCAGACCTGGTCATCATCTGCCAAGGCCACCTCAAGGGCTGCCGGTACACCTACAACAGGTGTTGGAACCTGTGGTGGCTGAACCACCGGCTCTGGAACCACTGGAATCTGATGCTGATAACCAGGGGCCTGTGCCCCTACCCCAGCCTGTAACCCCGCTGGTATACCTGCTGCACCCTGAGTAAGACGCTCCAATAACCCCAACATCCTGTCGAGTCTGTCATCATGAACTGGGGGTGCATGGCCCGCAGGAGCCTGCTCTGCAGCTACTCCAATCTGTGGCTCAGGTGAAGGCTCTCTACCTCGGCCTCGGGCAGGTGCCGCTCCTCTGGCACGGCCTCGACCACGTCCTCGGCCTCTAGCCCGACCTCTACCCCTAGCTGGGGCCTCAACTCTGACCTCGGGGGCTGCCTCCCCCCTAACTCCGGTAGCTCTAGTCCTCGGCATCTGCCAAAAACATCACGCGATACTCAACACACATGATAACAACCTCGCACGATAAGAACAGAATGAAAAAAAAGAAGTCTTTCCTAACAGTCTTCATAGCCTCTCGAAGATAAGTACAGACGTCTCCGTACCGATCCTCGAGACTCTACTAAGACTTGGTTTGTACATGTGAGACCTTCGAACCTGGGCTCCGATACCATTTTTGTCACACCCCAAAACCAGATGTGATGGCACGTGCCCAAACCCCACCGGACACGTCAGCCTAACACCCAAAAACCCGACGATACAGAATTTATAAACAAGAATAAGATAGAAAGATAAGCGGAAGTCTTTAAATAAACTCAACATAACCCCAGAATTGGTTGTCACATGTACAAACCTCTAATACAGAATCTGAATAAAATATACAAGTCTCATAGTAAAGTTCTAGAATAGAACAGAACAGTAAATATAGATAACTTGAGGGCACGTCTGGAATGAACCGCTACCTCTCAAGTAAGTCTGGAAGCTCTAATCTGAAGATGAGTAATAAACCGGATCTGATAGAGCTGTCAACCTACACAACTGTGTAGAAGCAAGGGTGAGTACCAAAAGCAACAGGTACTCGCAAGTAACACTAAACTAAGCTAAACTAGCAGCTACAAACAACTCCTTTCAATCCCAACCGAACCACCGAAACTTCATTCTAACAGCGAACCAACAACCTATACTACACAATTCATAATCAACAGATATATCCAACAGTATCTCAACATCAACCTCATATCCTCATATAAGAGCAAATAGATCATATATCACATGAAGAGGAGCAAGTAGGTAAAATCCACACACCACAGACAAAGATGAAGTCAAATGCGATGCAAATGCAATAATGATGTCATGTAGTCGTGATGCATGTCTGTCCTAAGATACACATCTGTTGACGTAATTCAGACCGCGCTGAATACTCAAATCAGAACCCATGGGGGCCACACATGGACCATGTATCACCGCCGGAACCAGATCCCATCGGCATCCAAATCGCTAGCCGGAGCTAGTCCATCTCATATATCTCTAGCCGGAGCTAGTCTCAACTGTGTCTCATATCCATCCATCCTCATATCAGTGTCTCAGAACTCATGCAACAGATAGTTCACACATGGGATGAATAATGAATATGCACATGTCATCAATCACAATCATATTACGATCACATCATAGTATTACACGTCATCTGTCTCAATCACAACCATATCACGACCACATCATAGTATTACACATCATCTGTCTCAACATCAATGTCTGTATCAATCATAGCCTACTCATGCTCTTCTATCCCCTCAATATCGGTTATCATATGACTTATTCAACAAATTCAAGTCACATATAACACATTTAGCTCGTTTTATTCCCCATCTTTCAATTACAACAATTTCAATCAACAAATAAAACTCATCCTCAATCCCCATTACTCCCCAACACAATTAGGAAAGTAGTCATGTGTAGTCTAAGAGTTTAACAAAGTTTAGAAGTCACTTGCCTCAAAACACTTCAACTAGTAACTCAAATTTGAGTTTTACCCTTCCGAGCACGCTCCAAATCACCACAATCCAATGAATTCCTTGCGAAAACCCACTTGAAATCACCTATTTTCGAGCTCTCAAAGTCTAAAAATGGAGAAATGGGTATTTTTCAAGTTGGGGGAAAAATGGCTACTGGTTTTTGACTTAAAAATAAATAAATGGGCTGCTGTTGCAGCTGAAACACAGCAATAAGCCCAAAGTTTAAGTCCCCGTTGGACCCTCGGGATTCGTTCGGAATCTCGTGCACACAAACTAAATATGTACCCCCACTAAATTCGACGTTCCGGACTCAATGGAACTGTCGGAATTTGAATTCGAGGACTCCTTGACCCGAAATTCAATAAGATGCCAAGAAACTAGTTTAACGCCAAAAAATTCGAAACTCAAACGGAGCGTCTAAAAATTCAACCAAGACTCATTCTAGACTTAGAATCGCCTCCCGAAACCAACGGTACTCTCGGAATTTCAATCTGAGCCTCGGAACCTCATATGTTGACCAAAGTCAACTCTTTATCGAAAATTCACAACTTTAGCAACTTAGGACCTCAATTCTTCGTTTCAACTCCAAATTCAACTCCGTAACTTCACACAGACCTGTTTCGACATTCTAAAACTGCCGGAATCGACGGAAATCCGATCCGAGTCACGAAACTCCAAATGACTCGAAAAAACACTTTTTAACCAACTTTAACTCATAAAACTTAACTTCTTAAAAACTCAACTTTTTACCAACTTTTCCTCAAACCAACTTTACAACCACAAAACATGGGACTCGGGACAACTACCGAAAGGGCAAAATAGTCATTTCCACGAAAAATTACCAAAATGACCTTTCGGGTCATTACAAATCAAGTGTTAATAAAAATTGTTGGAACAACACATATTTCCAGGCTTCAGCAATTAGTTTATTAACCGAATAATTTAAAATACAACCTTAATGAATAATAAAAGAGGAAAGGACTATTAAACTTCTTTTCATGGTTTGATATATACTTCGTGTTGACACTCATATTAGGGTAAATTCATAATTAATTTGTGTGAGAAGTTTCACATTAAAGGGTAAAACACTCTCTAACAAAAATTACTTTACTTTGAGTGATGATGAAGGAGTACATAATATCATGAATTCTTATGGCTGGATTATATATAATCTTATGGTCATGCAAAAATTAGAAAAATAAATTGAAAGATAAATAATTTCTGTTTGATGAAAACTTTATGACTGAAATTATGTCCTTGGCTTGACCCAACTTTAGACATTTTGACCATATATTTTGAACCCAATAGTGAAAACCACATCGAAAAACAAGTTAAAACCAATCTTTAATCACCATTTTTTTTTAAAGTTCAAGTTCTTGAAAAATCCTCAAACTTGAAGTTCATAACCAAGAATTGATGTTCAAAATCATAAATTACTAATGTGAAATGAAGATTTAGGGTCACAAATACATACCAAATGATTTATCTTGAATAAAACCCTTTGAGATCGCCTCTACCGAGCTCCCAAAGTTCAAAAATGATGAAATGGGGATGAAACCTTGCTTTTGGAAAAGAACATTGTTCAAGTAAAAACTACTCATCGCGATCGCGACTCCAAGGCCACGCGATCGTAATGAGTATAGTGGTCAACTCATTTAAATTGACTATCGCGATCGTGACACAAAGCAATGTAACTGCGATGATCAGAACACAAAGTCTACGCGACCATTACAAACTCCACGTGATAATGACGCGCAAAAAATATGCTTATGCGATCACGAGAGTGAGTCCCGCGATTGCAATGAACAAAGTAATGGGCAAAGACATCATCACACACAACAACACCAAGACTCAACCAAAAACACGGAAATTGACCCTCCAAAATTTCAATCTGAGCGTCCAAACTCCGAATGTTGACCATAATTAACTCTGGACCTAATTTCACTTAAACTTCCAACTCAAGGGCTCAATTGCACAAAAAGACCCTAACACTAAAAATGACAACACTCCTATAATTTTTTTTAGGAGGAACATTATTTTTCTTGATTTTGCACCAAGTATTTGACAATCATATTAGAACATGACCAAATTCGTATTCATGGAGAGAGGTTGGAACTATAAATTGCAATCTTTCTTTATCGATGGGGAGATTCGATTCTCTACTGAACTACCCCATTTTTTTAAAAAGAAAAGAAAAGAAATAAGAACATGTTTATTGTGTTTATGACCTACCAACAACCATTGCTTCACATATTATTGGCTTACTCTTATAATTTCATTGCCTATAAATTACCTCCATTGTGTTACTTGTTTATTCACAACTCTAAATTGCATTCTTTCTTATTATTAAAAAAAAACATTTCCAATCTTTTTCACTCAATAAAAGAGACTATGGCTCGCTCCATTTGCTTCATGGCATTTATGGTCTTGGCAATGATGCTCTTTGTTTCCTATGGTTTGTCTTCATCATTTGTTCCTCTTAAACCTCATAAAATAAAATAATGTGTAAAATTACTCTATTTTTTGGTCAAAATAACTCCCTCCATTCCAATTTATATGAGTTAGTTTGACTTGACACAAAGTTTAAGAAAGAAAGAAAGACTTTTGAAACTTATAGTCTAAAATAAGTATAGCCTAAAGAATTGTGAATTATAACATGCTTTAAAGTTATTTGACAACTATGAAAAACCCTGAAATAATTTGTTTGTTTATATTTCTCTAAATATTATACGAGCAATATTTCTTTCGATTATGTCTCTCTTATTCTAACATTTGTTAATATTTGTGAATGATTGTAGAGGTTAGGGGTGTACATGACCGGGTTGGTTCGGGTTTTTCAAATATCAAACCAAACCATTTGTGTCGGATTTTTAAATTTATGAACCAAACCAAACCAATAAAACTCGGGTTTTTCAACCTCGGGTTTTTTCGGGTTTTTCGGTTTTTCGGGTTGTTTCGGGTTTTTCCGGTAAAGTATTCATACACAATATATAATTTACTTTTACTTCAAATATTTCTTTAGTCCTACCAAAATACAACTATCTAAGATGTTTCTTAAAAATATAACACAATATGATATGATTAATGACACTAAAATATCCAACAAAAATAATAATAATGAAATCGCGTAAAACAAATATTGCAAATTAACAAGTCAGAATGAAAATGATCATAATTTAAAAGTACTAAATCATGCTAAAATTAAGTTTAATAAGTATTAGTTACATGACTAAATATTAAAGAAAATTAAAATTAGATTATGTATTTTAATTGTCTAAACCAATGTAAAACTAAAGAACAAATATTCAATAATATTGTCGTGTTGAATTGATTTTCTTTTTGCATTAGTATTAATTTGATTTTGATTTAAGCTTTATTATAATTACCAACATCTGTGGACTATAATCTTTATTGGCCCATTCATAATTCTAAGTTTCAAACTTGAAATAATATATTAAA